TCACCCATCAAAGAGAACCCAGGAAACATGATGATGACTCCAAATCTGGCATCCTTTGTCCTCTGTTTCACCACAAATCATCATGGTTGGACTAGCCAGACACACACACCTTGGTCCTTGTTAAAATGTAGGTATGGAAAACAAGAAAGACTGACTGAAATCTATAGGAAAATAAGCATGAGCAACTAAAATCGGTTTTGTTTAAAATAAAATCACCTTCCCCTTCTATACAGTCTCATATTTAGCTTTGCTACTTTCATTTTACATCAGTAGCTGCTCCTGGTAGGTTGTTTTAAGATTTCAATAAAACCTAATAGTGTGTGCTTACAGAAGAACGGCAAAGAAGAGAGCAAACTATTTAGGGAAGCAAGGACACAGCAAGCTTGAAATAGCTTGCCTTTTTGAGGCAATACTTTTTTCCCCTTTTGCTGAAAGGAGGAGACTTGGCACACACACTATTTCTGCTATTACACCAGTAACTTCTTATGTCACAGTTCACAAAGAAGAAATAACTGTTAAAACAAGTTGGTTTCTCAAAACTAGCTCCTAGTATGAAATTAGAGGAAATGTCTGAAACACTTCTGTACAGTGACACATGCTCAGCTGTGCTAATATGAGCAACCTGAACAGAAAGAGTGCCAAGAAAATTAGTGTATGTTTACCTCAATGCATGAGGCCTAGAAACCAGATTTCAGATGCAAAACATCAACTGCAAGTTAAAAAGCCCTGAGGATTTCATGGCTTCTCAGAATGCCACAGAGTATTTTAAATTGAATGGAAAGAAAAAAGCCAAAATCATTTGCAGAATAATTTGCAGTAGTCAATGTTGTTATTGTTGTTCATACCAATAACAGTAGTTTAAATACTGTGGAATATTTGGTACCAGAGACCTGTTCTTTCCCTGAGCAGCCACCATGTCATGCCAATGGTTATTCTGCCAAACACAAAGAATGAATTACTGTAGTATCATTAATTTGCTCAAAAAATTTCCAAAGGGAAACATTATTCCTATATTTTTATCATAAAAGAGTGATTAAATAGGACAAAAGGGCTCACAGTAATGTGCTGGGATGAGACTTAAGATGTAAGATTACTTACAGTGTCAAGTCATGGCACCTATCCTGCTGGTTTTCCCAGCCATAAAATAGGAATACTAGTCACTACCAGACTAGGTTTAAAAAAACAAGAAAAAAAAGAGTCCAAGGTAAACTGATAATGTTACAGATGTCCTTGATACAAAATTATTATTGTTTCCAGGGGCACAAAATGAATAGTGTCAAAGCCATAGTATCTGCAAATAAGAACATGTTACTTACCCCACATCCCTTCCCCTCTATTGCAGCTGAAAGAGGCTTCAGAATTTCAAAAGTAAATCCTGTCCAAAATATTAAGTTTCTGCTGCTGAACCTATCTCATGGTTACAAATAACAGCAGCCACCATTCTCTTACAATGGAAAGCATGCTAAAGTTTCATTTGCCTCATTCATAAAAAGAAACAAGGAGTTTCTTTAATGTTTTAATGCTTCTTTAAACCTGCAGAGACTTACTTAACTCTCTAAAATGCAAATATAGGCTAATCTACTGCCCTGGAAATAAAAAAGTCCCTTGGTTTGATTGTTGTTGTTTCTTGTTAGCCAATCTCTCCCCAGATCTTGTTCAGTCTCTTTACTCCAGTCAGACCCATAAATTCAGTCTAGTTTGGGAACTAAATGTATTATACTCTATTTTAGCCATAGTCATGCATTCCAAACTGACTGGATGCTTTATTGCTGGAGAAACTCAAAACAAGCACAGGATGTTCTCAAAGTAAGATGCCACACTGGTGGCCAGAAATGTCTTCAGTCTGATTTGAAACTAAGAAAAGCTGAGTGGCTGTGTGTAAAAATGATATTTGCGTACAGTGATAGATTCTACTGAACAGGTTTGGTTAGTTTAGGATAATGCTCTGCCAGTGACTGGGGAGAAAACCTCAAAACCATGATAGTTTGTGTATCCCAGTAAGTATACTGTGGGCATGACCTGTTCCTTTGGCACTCAAATTCCAAAGAATTCTCTTTCAAAGACAGTGTCAGGCACAATTATCCACTATGGAGTATACAATGAACTCCCATCTACCTAGTTACAGCCCTTCTGAACCTCTTAAGCGCCTGCCTGCCTGCCTCTGCTGCAAGGAAATAGAATAAGGAAAGGAACAGAAGTGCATGGTAGAGCTGTGGGGAGTGCCCAGGAACAAAGGTGGTGTGACAGGAGGTGTGGATGATAACCACCGCTCCTGGGAGAGGCATCCCACTCCTGTTAACATGACTGATGATCTAGACAAGGGGATCGAGTGCCCCCTCAGTCAGTTTGCAGTTGGTCTGCTGGAGGGTACGGAAGCTCTGCAGAGACCTGGGCAGGCTGGAGCGAGGGGCTGAGCCCAGCTGGGGGAATTCCACTGAGGGCAAATGCCGGGGGCTGCCCTTGGGCCACAACAACCCCCAGGGGGGCTACAGGCCTGGGGAGGAGTGGCTGGAGAGCTGCCAGTCAGAGAGGGACTGGGGGGGTTGAGAATGAGCCAGAGTGTGCCCAGGGGGCCAAGGAGGGCAACAGCATCCTGGCTGGTGTCAGCCCTGGCGTGGCCAGCAGGGACAGGGAAGGGATCTGAGCCCTGGGCTCGGCACTGGGGAGGCCGCCCCTCGGTTCCTGGGTTCAGTTTTAGGCCCCTCACCCCAAAAAGGCCATTGAATGACTCGAGCGTGGCCAGAGAAGGGCAACGGAGCTGGGGCAGGGTCTGGAGCACAGGTCTGCTGGGGAGCGGCTGGGGGAACTAGGGGGGTTCAGTCTGGAGAAGAGGAGGCTGAGGGGAGACCTCCTGGCCCTCGGCAACTCCCTGCCAGGAGGGGGCAGAGAGGGGGGATGAGTCTCTGGAGCCAAGGCCCCAGTGCCAGGCCCCGAGGGAATGGCCTCAAGCTGCCATGGGCAGAGTCAGGCTGGCTCTGAGGAAGGATTTCTGTGCAGAAGGGGCTGTTGGGCATTGGAATGGGCTGCCCAGGGCAGGGGGGAGTCCCCGGGATCCCTGGAGGGGTTGAAGAGTCGGGCTGAGCCAGCGCTGAGGGATCTGGGGGAGTTGGGAACGGTCAGGGTGAGGGTCATGGTTGGACTGGAGGAGCTTCAGGGGCTTTTCCAACCCAGATGATTCTGTGATCCCCTACTCCTGCAGCAGTTGCCACCCCTGACAGCATGGTGCATACTGCTTGGCAGCAGTAACCACCTTTGGGACTTTCCAGCACTGATGCAAAACAAGAAGGCACCTTGCTGACTCTCCAGCAGCCTCTGTCCTTGGCAGTTTCCTGCTTTAAGGACCTGAAGTCCAGCTCTCACCGGTCCACTGGCAAATTGTGGAATACAGCCACAGTGTATAGCACTACCTAGCACTTCCTGCTAAAAGGAGAAACCATCTAGCTATAAATCAAAGGATTTGTGGATAAAGATGCAAGCACTTAGTTCCAGGTGAAGTACTGTTTTAAGTTCTTAGGACAAACTCTGCATTGCCAAAATACCAATGCTACTTAGTGGTACTGTTGCTGTAGCTCTAATGGTCCAAGGTTACACAAGAAGATTTGCAGGGTGAAACTGTAAGTTATTAGCCCAGCAGATGCAACTGGAAAATATGGAAAAGCTGTGGGCATGTGAGATTTCTTACTCTAGGTCTTGCTAATTCTATTTTAAAGAGCATGTTGGATTTCAGTACAGGATTTGAAATCAGTATTTATATATATGCTGATGATGTACTTTTTTTCCTCACCGTGTTCTCACTTTTCCAGCCATCCCCAGGCTAAGGATTCCCTTAATACCTCTTCCTGATGATATTTCCTCAGACTTCATTCTCCTGTTCCTCAGTTCTACTCTTCCTGAACTTTAATGAATAGCAAACCATCACTATGGTTCAGTTTTCTCCATCTTTGACTCACTCCTGGTTTCCATCATTTCTATGATCTTTTTTCCTCTGTAGGGAGAGTATTTCTTTAATGAAAAAAATATCAGGAGGTATGGATTTCCTCTTCCCCTTAGCTGTACTCCTGCCTAACTTTCCATCTTTAATTTATGTATTTCTCTTTTGTCCCAAAGGTATGAATTTTTTATCTTCCTCTTCACTTCCTGCTGTGCTCCATCCAAATTCCTGATCTCCTTAATTCTGCTCCTTAGTTTTTCACACTTGCTTGGCTTCTCTCTAGTAACAATATTCTCTTCCATCTCAGCCAGTTTATTCCTTCAGCCTTTCCATCTATTGCAGCATTTTCCTTGCGGTTATCAGCTCACTGAGCATGCTATTTACAAGTCCCTTGCAAGTTCATTTCATACACTCCAATCCTATCCTTGCTTATTATGGATTCTACCCTCATACTATTGTGCAGCTTCTCTTCATAAGATTTCCAATATGCCTGTTTTTATCCATCTACACAGCTAAACATCTTGCCCAGAGTCCTGTTACTTTATATCTCATTATGACACCATTCCTTTGTACAGGATGAAAAAATAGTCTTGCAGGCTGAGCTAAGCAAATGCTTAACTAACAAACAAACAAGCAAAAATTGCATTAATAAAAAAGAGATCAGGAAATACTAAAAATCATTGACACCATTTCACTGATGGTGTATTCTCTCTGCTGCATCATGTTCAATTCTTTTTCCTTTATATCAAAAAGTATACAAAAGAAACGGAACAAGTTTCAGAAATGCATGATCTATTCAAGCTATCAGCATGAAAAGAGACTGAAAAGTCTGAAATTATGTAGTTTAGAGGATTATAATATCATGACATGATATTATCGAGGAATAGAAAGCACCGAACAATAAAGTGAAGCAAAGCCGTGGGTACTTTTTAACCCTGACAATGTAAGAACTAGTAGATCTTAAATAAAGAAAGGAAATGTTTAGAACATTATTTACACAAGTCATAATTAGTGTGTGAAACTCATTGCTCTAAGGTATAAAAAACCCCAATGAACTTTAATGAATTCTAAAAAGGAGGCAGCTTTTCTCTGCATAAGAAAAAGATGTGGTTACTTTCAGGTCACTTATGTAAATTCCTTCTTTCAGGGAACAAGTACCCAAGTGACAACGTAGGACAGATTTTCCCTTCACAAGAAAATCAAGAGAGTCTGCTGTGGGGCTTCCTGGTGATTCTTGTGAACTGGCTCATACTGTCAGAAACATGAATCTCAACTGATGCAATACTGTACAGATACAGTGCTAACATCCCTCTGTTTATATGTGAAAAGTTCTATTACTTCTCAGAAATTAGAAGTTCTTAAGATGAACATGACGTGCAAGAAGTCTGCAGGCTTGTCTTGGTAACTTGGTAACCCCTCACCAGAGGAGACAATGCATTTATTCACTGTGGGTAAGTCAGTCACAGTAATAAAGGAATAGCAAGGCAAATGAGACTGAATCAACACTGGATGCAGAGTATTTAGTTTCCCTACTAAGGCCTTCTCTACATCATACAGTTCAGCATCAAGTATCAAGAGTACACAACAGGGGGAATAAGTGTCTGTGTCACGGCTTTGACATCAACATAAATTCCCCAAGTACAGCTCAGCTACACACATATATTATCCTTAACAAATGTCCATGCAGCCCATTCTTAATCTCCATAGAAAAAATGTTTAACATTTTACAACCTACCTAGAGGGTCTAGCTGAATACTTTTCTTCACTGCCAACATTTTTATTTATGCTCCACTTCAGTGTCTTTAGTCAGAGACCATGACTCCTTGACTGGCCTCCTCTTTCTATAAACACTTTTCAGCGTTTTCAAAATCATCTTTGCACCTCTGCAGTTGCCTCTGTTTTAGACTGATCCAACTTAATCCTTCTAATTTTTTTAAGCTCTCCATTCTCTGTATTCTTGACATTATGCAGCTGAGGTTAGCCCAGGGCTAACACAGTACTTCATCCAGCTGATGTCTTACTAACAACAGAAAGAGCATATTTAACAAACATCAAAGCTCCAAGGCAACTTTTAATCACACTTCAGTCACTATGCCCTTCCAGTTTGACAGTGATCTGTTGAAACAATGCAGCATTTGTTTTTTTACAAGTTATGCAGTTAACTCATAGAAATCTTGTGTAATTAGTGTTTCCGAAGTGTGCTTATGAAAATACCATGTGGGATCCTGTTGCAAGACAAAGCCAAGATGTATGATAGCTGCTGCTTCTTACTTCTCCTCTGGTGTATTTATCTGTCAAGGAAAAATAATTAGATAGGCTTGACTGACTTCTTGGCAAGTCCATGCTACCTGTTAATCATCTTCTAGATGCCAACAAATTTACCTATTTCAGTATTTTCCAGGAATTGACATCAAACTAGTTGATGTCAACTATTTTCTCAGCTCTTTCTCATGCCTCTTGCCCCATTTTATACATAGATACTGTGCTTGCCCATTTCTGATCTTACGAAATTTCTACCCTTCAAGTTCTTCAGGGTAAGCACATTCCTGAGATTGCTTCGGTCTCTTCTCCTCACTGTAGATAAGTGAGATGAATTAATAATAAAATGAGACAAAATATCTTATTCAAATCTGTGTAAGGAAATGGAAGTTCCTGTGTTGTGGGTGGTGAGAGAGAGCTCCATGATCAAATTGCTAGAGGACTAATTAAAAAATTTAACAATTAGCCTAAAAAGATAAAATATTGTGAGGCCATGCTAACAAGTTCATTTTCTTTGTATCTATAAAATGTCCTATATGTTCAGATCAAAGTATTTTAACATTTATTGTTGTGTCACTATAGTCAGAAACTAGATGAGTAACCACCATAGAAGCACAAATTATGGTCGTAATTTGTACCTGCTACAAAATGAGTGTTTTATTTTATGAGGGTGAAGTTTCGCTTTGTGCAGGGAGAGTTATCACTTGAGATCCACTCCTCAGAGTATTCAGCATTCAGTGGTTTGTCAAGTTAATAGTAGCTTACATTACATTTACAGCATTAATTCCATTTTTATAATTCACAAAGGCATTACTGTGGTGATCCCCAAAAGAGGACTGTTGAGGTAAATGAAAAGTTTTGCGTTTTTTCCCAGACTTATGAGTACACTCATAGGGAGTGAACCCTATGAATTTTATTATGAATATATATTTTTATTGCATGAATACTCATCTGTGGATCATACTAGGAAAAGATATTAATTCATACTGACTCAAAAAGCATCCCTTCCCAAGTGATGCATCATTGTATGTGAAATTCTGGATTCCAGGTATGCAATTAAATGCTCTACTTTTCTAAGCATCTCAGTCAACCCCCTGGATAAATAGCTTGAATTGCATAAGTGCAGTGTGTTAAAACCCATGAGCTAATATATGGTCACTAGGAAGTTTACATGCCCACTGGTATGACTTACCTGCCTCACCCACCTAATGTGAATTACAATTGGTTTGAACATAAGGAGAGGCCTGAAGTTTTCTCTATAAATGCTGCCACACAACAAGAGCTTGAAGTCTTATCATATAGGCCTACAGTTGCTCACAGAAATACAAAGTCCAAGGCACAGAGGAGCAAGGAAGCATGGCTGGTAAGTAAAAAAAAAAAAAAGAAAGAAATCTCTTTGTGCATAAAAAATAGGCAACTGAATATGTACCATATGTTAGCCTTCTCTGTGGGGTTATGTTCTGAGATTATGAATAGGTTGTTTCAGCATTTTTCTCTCCTGAATTTTCCAAAAGACACAAACAAGGAAAAGAAGATAATCCATCCATTATCTTACTGGAGTTAAATATTATAAAACTGCAAATAGAACAAAAGAAGTTATGGCAAACTGCAGACTATCTTTTAGCATGAAACTTAATGAATCTGAGAGTAGTTCAGATATGAATGAATCTTGTGTTAATGGGAATATTTATGCCAATAATAAACCGTGGCCTAGATTCCTTCCTGTAGATTCAGTCAGCAAACTGCAAAGCCATTTTAACTATTTGTTAAAATTAGCATGAAAGGCAAAGGCACTTTTAAAATACAGACAAAGCAAGCAGATGTCCAGCAGTGAGGCCTTAGGAGGAAAGATACTAAAATCCGTACACTTTAGCAAGGTGGGCCATGTTCTTGCAGAGACCTCTGTAAGAACATATAATGAAGCCTGAGCGTAGATGATGCCACTTTACCTCTTCTAGGCACAGAGCTCATGCTCTGCTGGCTATATGTCATAGACTTGAAAAGCTCAGAAAATGAATAAAAACCAACCATCCACAGAGCAGAAGCTTGAGTGCAGAAATGACAGGCACTGTCTTCCCCTCATGGAGGTTAAAAAAGGCATGATACCCCATTCTCACAGTTTTAGGAGAACCAATTGCACAGACTCTTAGGATAAAAGCATTCCTCCATATACTATGATTTGAAATAATTCATGTTACTGGCCTGATCTGGGTGTGCTAGCACCCCTCAACAGCATCTGCTGTTCGCATGCCCTGATAGTGCTTAGTTAATGGCTGACTCCGTGCATCTGCCAAGTGCAATACCATCTAAATACTTCCCTGTTTAAGAGCGGAAGATAGGCTGGGAGGGAATCAGGTGCATACAATGGGCATAATGCTATTGATTCCCTCATAAACCTCCTCCACTGAGCAGAGGTTAAATAAACGGTAAAACACAATTCAATAAGTCAAGATGAAAGACTGGACTGAGTAGAAAAATCCTTCTTTTTAACAAAAGAACTCTACAGTAAAGTGGACAGTAAAATCTTCATCTACAGCAATGAGAGGAAAAACACAAACCGATTGTTTCTGCATTGTAACACTTCCTCTTAAGCAACAATTTGCCAGTAACTTAGCCAAGACATTTTAGTAAGGTGATCCCTAAAACCTTCCTCTTTAAGTGTCATACCCCAGTCTATCCTTCTTAACCACAATTTTCTCATTGCACAAAATGCAGGAAGCAGTAACAGCATTTAACGAACAAATTGGTATTTGCTGATAACGGTCAGCACCTGCTTGTGAAATACCCGGGGCCCAAGAAACAGCCAAGCTCCAGTTCAGTTGGAGATGTCAGAAGTGCCCAGGGATGCTTCTCACAGCGTCATGCACAATTTTAATGTAAAAAAACTGTGAGGGCCTGCATGCAGGTGTGTGTGCATGTAACTGTTTACACTCTCTCTCTCTCCCCTGCTCCTCCTGACGCCCTGACATACATCCTGAAAAATACACACTTTTTTTCCAAAAAAGTTTTTATGCATCTGTGGGTCAATCTCTAATGGACCTACTTTAACAGAATCCAGAAGGTGGTGTGTAAAGAAGGAAAAGCACCTAAAAAAATCCTATAAATTGGATAGCATGGTTTATTTTTTTAAGAGTTTTAATAGTCTGCAGCACGCTACTGCTATTAAGGTTTCAGCAATTTGTTTCAGTCTCACACTCAAAATAATTATTTCAGCTTCTTGTCTGTCACTTTTAAACTTCAGTGTCATTACAACTAAGGCATGAGTCACACCTGCAAGCATCTTGTTTGTGCATTAGAATTAAGAGCACTTGCCTGCAAAACAGGACAGCATGTTTGATTCTCAGAAGAAGTAAGCAGAGCGATGTAGCGACGGGTGCTGGCAAAGAGGTCTTCATTGCTTATGAGTGTGCAGCAGTAGCTGGAAGTTAAAACTTCCAAATAATGTCTTTGCTCCATTCCCATGGAAGAGATGTGTGCATAAGTGGGTGAGGTAGGGAAATACATTTAAATATAAGAGGTTATAAATAACAGGTTGTGCGTGAGTATGTGGGAGCTGTCTGGGGAGCCTAGCATAGGTTCATCCCAGTCTGTGTGCTGTCACTTTGGCTTGTTTCTCCGTACTGGTCCCACAGTAGTTTTTGAAGTTCACATATTAGTACATGCCACTACTATGTCACTGTCAGTCTCCCTTCTGGAATGAGCCATCTCATCTGGAATGAGCCAAAATCTCAAGAGAAGATCTGAGCCCAGCTAACAGGGTAGCCTACCTTACACAGACAATATGGGAGCTGACTGTGCCAAGTTCAGCTGCCTTCAAAGTCTGGCTATTGGAGAACGTCAGGAACAACCAGGAACTTCCAGAAGGCTTCAGGATGCAGTAGTCTGCAGGCTTCCATTCAAAATGCACTGCTGTTCCACTGTGAATGGAAGAGGAAGACAGAAAATAAGAACATCTTGGACAACATATAGGAAAGATCTCAGCCAAATGCTTTTTTCCATATGGACTTGACCAATTTACATCAGGGGGTTCTAGTCCTGAAGAGTGCTGATCCAAGTCAGTCCCTACCCCTGTTCTAAGGTCTCTCCCTAGTGTGATTCACTAATAGAGTATAGCTGTAGAAAACCACTTGACTTCTTGTATCTGCGATAGGAGGAGTGGGTTTTGCTTATGAAATTCCTTGCTTAATTATCCAGCAAGGGAATGCAGGAGGAGATAAAATAGCTCAAACTTCTCAGAGGACTGAGGTGGTTCCCAGTGAGTCATGGCTATATGGTTGTAGCATGGTGCATTACCGGTATGTAAGAAAGAGATGTGCTCAGAAAGAATAAAGGAGCAGATAGGCTATTTTAGGGACTGATTTCCCATCCTGAAATATAGGCACAATTAATAGTAGGTGACATTTAATAGAATTCAAGTGTCACTGTTGATTCATACGTAATTGGTGGGGAAGAGAACGACAATACAAAGAAGGAGAGAAAATAGTACTGGGGAATTAGTCTGTTACAAAAGATGTCCTTCACTGTTCAGTGCTGAACTCTTCCTCCTATGTATTCCCTTCTTTAACACAGTTACTGGAGGGAGAGAGGAAATCTGGGTATCACCAGAAAAGGATGTCATGAGTTACATGACTGAACTGGTTTGCAAAAGATGGTTCTGATATAACTTATTCTGCGTGCATGAAACAAATACTAAGATGGCTTAGAGCTTTTATTTTCTGAGGTCCAAAAGAATCTTCTCTTGCTATCCACCAGTTTCAGGCACCTACCTGTGCAATTCTTACATTTACAGCCACCATACAAGCTCTGCAAATACTACTTGGCTTGCAGGAAGCTGCTTGGAACAGATGCATTCTGCTTGACTAGTATTCTGACTAGTGTTAGTATTTCTCATTAATCCAACCCTCATACTTTGCCCATAATCTTTAATGCAAAGGTACAGTACGTATCATCCATCCATTTTACAAACAGAGCACACCAGAGGTCTGCAAGGCAACTTAGCCAGAGCTGGGAATAAACACCAGAAACTGATGCAACAGACACGACTCATTCTCCTTGCCATAGTGTCTTCCAGAATAAATGGACTGTACTGGTTTCTTGCAACATGCTGTTTGTAACTACACTATCATACCATCAAATACCAAAACCAGTGATGCCATTGACCTATAGGACAATGATATACAGCACACTACTGCTGTCACACAAAAAAAGGTGAAACGTGACCAAATAAGCATCGGCAGCTATTTGATGACTAATCACTTTTTTTTTTCTTCTTCAACAGTAACTTATCTTTCTGTCCAAGAGAAATGGTTTTGATATGTATCCAAGGATAGACTGAAGTCTTAAAACAAATATATTCTGAAAATTGTTAGTGTGTCATTTAAGAGAATTTAAAAGTATGGGTAGGAGAGCACAGCTTAACATCTGAAACCTCTAAAGTTTGGACTTAACATTTTAAAATCAAATTCTAAAAAAATTAAAAATTAAGAATTAAAGTCTTACAATTTTAAAATCACAAATTTAAAATCATAAATTTTGTATGTGATAAAACTATGGTCCTTCTTAAGACTAAATAACAGTAATGAACAGATATTCAAAGCAGTAATCTGAATTATACCCAGTTAAAAACTGTTTCTTCTAATAACACCTTTTTATAGGAAATATGAATAAAATATGTCTGTGTATTAAATGGGTTGAGCAGGTTTCAACTCTAAAATTTCCAAACATGAATCAAACCTGAAAATAGAACCATGTCAGCTGCTGAACACTGAGCCCAGCCAATTAAAATTCTGCATTTGAGAAGGCATATAGCTGTGGCCAGTCCAGCATAATGGGTATCACTCAGAGGCATCCTTAAAACTGTGTATTGAGTATATCAAATTTTACAGGTCATTTCATAAAAGTATCAGAATTAGTCTCTCTCAGTACCTGCAAAGCATAAGCAAAAATCACTCTCCTTGAAATTAAATAAAAGGTTTTTGTGCGCAAATTAGCATTGCCAGCTGCATGTTCAGAGATTTCCTTATATAAAAAAATAGTAGTGTACCAGCTGAAAACAATGATAGCTATTTTATCGCAAGTCACAAATGTACTTACCTATCATCTCTGCAGTGTATCATGCAAATATGACATGGAATGTTTGTCTATTTAAGGTTGTTAAACAGTAATTACGTGATAAATGAAAAATTGGTTCTTTAAATTCAGCCTGATTAAATTTGGGACAGAGGCAAGAGCTTGCTGATTGTTTTGCAATTACTACAATGCACCAGGAAAAAAAAAAAGCAGCTCCAGGTAAACAATGGATTCAGTGAATTAATTTAAAGAAAAAGTCACTGTAAATATTGCTCATGAAGTATTCCAAATTAAAAGCAATGTTGTGCGAGCAGGAGTTTGCTATTCCTATAATTTTATCATTAGAACAGAAAGAAAAGCAACTACATGCTGAGATTCTTATAAATTTAAATACATTAAGAAACTCTTAATGAGTGGCCAGACTGTTAGGGATAAATATTGTTCAAGCTGTTACACTGAAAGGAAATGAGATCAGGATGTGCACACTGAGAGAGGAAAAAATGAATGAAAAATGAATCCTCAAGTCCTCTTGGTCAGACAAAGGATGAGGAGCAAAGAAAGCTATTCAAGCTCCACCCCTGCAGGAAATATTGCAAGCAGACAATTTTACTCCTCGACTTTTAAAGAAGTGAAAGGCATCAGTTGTTCCTTGAGTCAACAGAAGTAGAGGAGGCCATTCAGAGGAAAGCTCCACAAGCTGCTTATACAGGACGTATTGATCAGATATGGGTCAAGGTGAGCAAGGGGGAAGCCCCTTCTGTGGTGCTCTGTTTGTTACTTCCTTACATCCATACCTCTTATTCAGTTCTGTAATGGACACTGAAGGATCAGTACTTCTCTAAGGAGTTTTGATCCAAGAAAAAAAAAAAAAAACAACAAAGAGAAAATTCCTCCATCAAGAGTCAGGAGAAGGATTTTCTCTGGAATTGCATTTTTTCACTTATTAGGCGCATGGGAAAAACAGGCTTATCAGAATGCGATTTAGGAGAACAATTATCTGATGTAAAAATGCGTTTTGCAAATAGGAAGGAAGGGAAAGTCTGCAGCTATTTGAAGTCATCAGACAAGCGTAAATGAGAGACTGACAAATCTGACATGAGAGAAAGAAGCAGAGCAGAACTTGCAGCAGGTATCACTGCAAAGGCTGAGGGAGGCTACAATAAGCAGAGAAGGTTAAAACCTGAAGTTAAGGCAGAGAGGATACAAAAATTTAGGGGCATTTTTTTTTTGTGGTTTGTTTGTTGCAGTGAGGGTTTTTTGCTTGTATACTAATATTTATACATATGCAAATTGACCAGTTTATTAATTATTATAAATGGTCCCGTGTTGATTTTCCACCCTTGCCAGATAACTCCTGCCTTGCTAAAGACAAATCTCCCTCATCCCTCCGCTTGTTCTACAATAGATGTGCTTGATTGCTATCTTTCTGAAGATGTTTGGTTTATTTTAAAGTAGGTATGTTCCTGAAGAATCAAAGTACGTGCTGCTTGCCTCGATACTGTAGAAAAATATGTTCCCCCCATTTGAACTGTGACCACATTGCTAAGACTACTAATGTAGTTATTTCAAGGCTTGCCTAAACTTGATAAACTTAAGGATCATGCTGTAAAAAAAAAAAAAAAAAAATCTTTATACTAATAAATCTGGTTGAACATGGGATAATGATTTTTTTACTCAATAATGGCACAGGGTAGCTGTGTGCCAGTACTAAGGACAATACTCCTACTCTTTCCTATTCTCCCCTGGGGGTCGGGTGTGGGGTGTGGAGGAGGGGCAGAGAATATGGAGAATAAAAAAAAAATATTCTTAAAAAACACACAGTGCCCTTTGGAGAAAAAAATATTTTTCTTCTGTACTTCTGCACTTCAGTTCAACCATTCAAACTACATTCTATAGAGAACCCACCACAGGCTCTGATGATGTCAGAGCCAAACCAGTCTCAGAGGCTTATTCTTTGGCCTCTGACTGAAGCCAGGGTTCACATATATGTGCTTTCTGACACATATTATTTCACACATATTTTAGAAGTGTTCTCTCTCCAGTTCTGCCATCTTTCCCAGATGACAGCCCAGTGTCCATCAACATGTTCTAACATATTCTTGTTAGGTGCTTCCAACAGAGAGCAGCTGGCATATATGCCAGAAGTCTCTAGCAAATGGGGCTAGAGATCCCATGTCATGGTTTAAAATGCAGATGTGTTTCCCAGCCCAATCAGGTTTCTTTATTTCTTATTCAGAGGAGCAGGGCTGTGCCTCTGTTAGTATAACACCATGTCTTGACACCTTGAAAGAATTATCTGAATTCAGTAAGATTCTTCATCCAAGTGACTCACAAGTATTCTATTCTCTCAGGGGTCTCTCAGATGCCCTTCTGATTTTTCTTTAGTACTGGATATACTACTCCTCCTATATTTACTTATACAGATAATCTCTAACAGTCTATGCAAGACCAAGTCTCTCTCTCACAAAAAATGCTCACAAATAAATTTTTTCTGGTTTTGGTGGAAACCTCACAGGGGTATTAGTTACCTGTAGAAAGTAAAATGCAATCCTTGCGAGCGTGTTTGCGCTCCTTCCTCCTTGGATGGACCCTCAAGTTTTCTTGCTCTTCTCACTTTTTCATAGCTGCAATGCAGCCAAGTACCAACTGGCACCTGAAAGAAAATGCAAGAGATCACCACACAAGTAAATTTTCTAGCAAAGAGCTGATTGTGAGGAGAGGACAGGCCTTCACTGTCACCTTCAATGGAACAGAACAGCCTGAGCAAAACTTAACATTCATCGCAGAAACAGGTATGGTTCACAACTTCTTTCACAGAAAGACTTATGATGCCTTGTGACATTCTTTTGGCCTGATTATGTGCTATAGGGCAGCAAGATAATACCTCAGAGTCAATATGATGGTTCACATAGCCATGGAATTGCTTGAGGTGTTTGTTGTATTACTCCCATCTCAGCTAGCAGTGAGACCCTTCCTCAGTTTCCAACTGACACAGATTCCTCTGAGGGGAGGGTTACATCCCTGCTGAGTTTGTTGACAACTAAATCTCTATTTCAGCAAGCTGGCGGGAAAAACATGTTGTTTATTTTCCTTAAAAGGTCCAAAACCCTCAAAGCTGGCTAAGACCCAGGCCACATTTGGTATCTCCAGCACAGTGAGCAAGGAGAGCTGGAGTGCAGTTCTACAGTCTACCAGTTCCAACTCTGTGAGCATCTCCATCTCCAGCCCACCTAACGCTGTCATTGGACGTTACAAGCTGAGCGTTCAAACTACTTCCATCGGCAGCTCCTCTCCGGCAAGCCTTGGCACTTTTGTTTTGCTCTTTAACCCTTGGTCTTCAGGTATGAACATGTCAAATTTACCCTGAAAGAACTAAGTTGCTTGTAGCTTCATTAATATTTGCAGCTTCTCCATTTGATCTATACTTCTTTAATACAGGGATGAACATTCACCACATAATGTATCAGTGAGAAAAGGGTTTAACAGTTTCTTGAGACCTTCTGGTACATAAAATCAGCTCTGTATCATGTATCATGAGAGCTCCTTGCCCTAGAAGATTAAATTCTGCTTAAGCAGATTAAGGTCTGCTTTTGCCAGACCTTCCCTACTTCTGCACAAGTTTAGAAGGTATGTCTGGTCTCTCTAGAACCAAGAAAATAGTCCTATCTACCAGCTGCCATCTTCTCCCAGACCTGACAGTGTTATAGCTCTGTCAGACACCCACCCTTTCGTCTAATTATAGGAAATCCTAAGTTTCACGATCTGTTTAGAACAGCAAGAAGTCTGCAAGCATTCTTATTGGTGGAGACCAAGGCTCCTGAGGTTTTGTTTTATTTTGCCTGTTGTGGTTGTACATACCTCTTTGTTTTGGCTTTTCAGGTGATGATGTGTTCATGCCTAACAAGGCTGAGTGTGAGGAATATGTGCTAGAAGAGTTTGGCATAATTTTTGCGGGCAATAAAAATCATATCAACAGCTTTGGATGGAACTTTGGCCAGGTAAATGCAGCTCTGAGACACCAGACAGTGTTTCGTGCTCTGATTTTCACATGAACTGGGTGGGTAACCAGGGCTTGTTTGCTTTTTCCAGTTCGTCACGTACACCTCTGAAGAGCAGGAGTCTGGTACTGAAATCAGAATTTGTGCCAAGCCCTGTTATATTGATTAATATGAAGATTTGGAATTGACTAGTCAGTGATATGACCTAGGACTTGGAGGTGCAGCTGGCAGGAACCTTAGCGTCTGCTGGGTAGTAAAGTACTGTAGAAGTGCTGAGAGGTGAAGTCCTGGCCTTAAGTCCATAGATTGCAAGTTTTGAAAAGCTCTTTGAGTTCTAATCTTCACAGTTTGTAGAGGCCACGTTTTTATATGGTAATTACTGGCTGAGCTGCAGCACTTAATTCCATGATTTAAAAAAAAAAAAATCAAACACTTACATGGCTCTACTTACTCTGGTTTTCAGTAGAGTGATTTGTGTTTCCAGAACACTAACTTATTTCTGTAACATAGTTTCAAGGAGATATTCTCAATATTTGCCTTTCCATGATGGATCGAAGCTTAAACTATCGTCAAGATCCTGCCACAGATGTATCTCACCGAAATGACCCCAAATATCTGGGCCGCGTTCTCAGTGCAATGGTAAGCAACGTGTTCAACAAGCCCAAAGTCTTGTTCTTTTAAAGTAATTAGTGAAAGTAGGTATGATGACACTTCTCAGTGAATTTTGGGCCACTGTTTGTATGGACCAGAAATATGGGCCAGAGAAACACCTAAGTGGTCATCTGATCTGAGCCTGCTAGATTTATCTCATCTGTAGTATTTCTGATACTTATCACTTTGACATCCAGTAGTCAAATCGAAAGTGTAAGACACGGGGTGGTATGCTGAGGGACCTGCCCTTGGAGGTCTTTAGTCCAACCTCCCACTTGAAGTGGAACTATAGTGGTACTAGATCAGCTCAGTGATGGATCTGTCAGGCTGCCTTAAAAATCCCCAAGGATGGAGGTTTCATGGCCTCTCTGGGTGACTGGTCCAGAGCTGCACCACTCTCTTAGTGAAATCTTAGTCAAATATGATTTTTGCCATGCTACAACTCTCTACTGTTGCCTCTTATTATAAAATCTGCCAGAAGAGAGAAAAGTTGGATTCTGACAACTTAAGAGTCTTCCATTCAAGTGGCTGTAAGCTGCTATTACATTCCCCTTATCTCCTTAACCAGACTGAACTAGCCCAGTGCTCTCAACTGCTCCTCGTAGATTGTGTGTTCCAGGGTCCTGACCACCTTGGTAGCCCTTCCAACTAGAACCTCTTCAGTGTCTCAACATCCCCTTGAACTGAGGGACCCAAGACTGGAGACAGGATTCCTGGCACAGCCTCGCTAGGGATAATTAAAGGGGGTTAACAGCTTCCCTCAATCTCCTGGTCACACTTTGCCCAATGTAGCCTAGTGTGGGCTTTCCCCTTCTGATGAGAGAGCACTGTTGGCTCAAATTCAATCTGGCACGTGCTGTAGCTCCCAGGCCTCTTTCAGATGGGCTGCCACTCAGCCAGCTGCTTCCCAGCTTATACCAACACATGAGGTTATTCTACCCCAGATTCTGAAATCTACACCTTTTCTTCCTGAACTTTATGAGGTTTCTATTGACACAGTATGCAAGATTTTCAAGGTGACTGTGCCCCCCATTTGTTCTGTCAGCCACTTCTCCCAATTTAACATGAATTTGTTGAGGGCTCACTACATCGTGATCCAGGCACATTCTGAAAGCTTAGATGCATGGTATGCTCTGATGATGCCATTCAATCACACAGTGTCACCTCATGTCAGGAAGGTTCGATGAAAACTGGTGTTTGCTTTCTTGCCTGGTGCTTCTGTACTTGACCTGGAGAAACAGGGATTAAATGCTCTCCATTTCTGGATAGGACACATTTTTAATTTCCCTGAAAAGATAAGGTTTCTTCCTGAAGGTCAGTTGCATGAAGCAGTGACTTTGTCCACTAAAATGTCATTCCAGGCTTTTCTCCTGCCTGCTTCCCTACCACTACCACCTCTGTTGTAAACTCTTAATTTACCTCATCATAAATTTAGTGAATATTTTTACAGGTCAATGCCAATGATGACCAAGGGGTTCTGCTAGGAAACTGGAGTGGAAATTATGAGGGTGGGAAAAGTCCAAGCAGCTGGACTGGAAGTGGTGAAATCCTGCAAAACTGGAAGAAATCAGGATTCAAACCTGTTAGATATGGACAATGCTGGGTTTTTGCAGCAGTACTGACTACAGGTATGTTTTATACCATGCACGTAACTGACACGGCCCAGATTCTGTTAAAAGTAGCACTAATATCACCTCCTACGTGAAAGTCTTTCGAGACATTAGTATGTTATATGAAACTCTGCATTTCAGAAATACTGCTGACTATGGTCTTCTATTCACCCTTTAGTGCTCAGATGTCTGGGGATCCCCACTCGTACGATTACAAATTTCAGCTCTGCCCACGATGCAGATGGAAATCTGCGTGTGGATGAATTCTACGATGCTTCTGGAAATCATTTGGACAGGGCAGCTGACAGCATATGGTAAGGCTGAATGATTTTAATAGTAGGACCTATCAATCCCTAAAGAGTCTTCAGGTCCAGAGTATAAATTCTAATAGCCAATGCTTTGTTGTCTTCTTAAAAACTGCCTTAAAAACAACTACACACACACAGAGGATCAGTAAAATAATACTACAAAATAATACTACAAAATAATACTACAAAATAATACTACAAAATTTGGTGTTTTCATTGTTTCTCAGTTAAACAGAGAATTGTGACATGAAGCCAGGGCAGGCAAAGTTACAATTATGATGCCAGAGATGACTGAAAAGTTGTGGTATTACACTGAAAATATCAAACAGTGGGACTTGACTTAGTTTGGAAATATTCTTCAAAAACAGTTCACATTAAACTGTAAAAAGTTCAGCAGAACCAGCTTCCCTGTCTTTTTTTTTTTCAGTGACATCATTTGCAGTGAAAATAATTTAATCATTGCCACTATTAAGCATCAAATGCAATTCATACAAGCTTGCATTCAGCAAACAACAGGTTCAGTCCCTCACTTGTTTGTCCTGGACCCATTGTAAATATAAGCGATAACTGTAGCATTGTGCTATTAAGGAAAACAACTAAAACTAAGGAAGTACATATGCTCAGAACTTTTGAAGAAAGACAGGCTCAAGACATTTTGGATAATTTTACAAACTTGCTTTCTGCCCTTGAAATGTCTGTTGTCTTGAATGTCTGTTCCACAATGCAATTTTCAGCTTTTACCTCGTTAATATAGTCAGGGTCAGAGTGCAAGTGGTCAGTCTCAGATAAGAACCTTTGCAAATTCAGGCATTTAATACATTTAACTGTCTGATTAACGGAATTTAGAAACACATACTAGTAACTTACTTCGTTCATTCTTGCACATAGGAATTTCCATGTCTGGAATGAAAGCTGGTTTTCCCGCAGTGACTTGGGCCCCTCATACAGTGGATGGCAAGTTCTGGATGCAACTCCTCAAGAAGAAAGTGGAGGTAAGCAGATTTTAATTTGGAATAATGAAAAAAAATTACAAAGTCAGTAACTTTCAGAGAGAAGAAAAAAAAAGTGAAACCACTGTAAAAGTAATTTCTCATCCTGCTCAGAAATAGGGTTGCAGAAAAGTATACCCATCTATCACATTAGAAAAGCATCAGATCATCTGTGGATGTCAAGAAACAAACTAGACTTCTAGGCAGTCTTTTGCAGCAATTCCTATATTTCCAATGTAGGTATCCAGAGCTATTGAAAATCAAGGGATAATATAAAATAAAGCAAGTGTACCTTAAAAATAAACACAAGACACATTGATGATTGGCCTGGTATGAGAGTCTATGTGGATGAAAAGGCCAGAACAGCACTGGGCAATTCAGGAGTCATTGATAAATATCTGTCTAGTAGTCTACTTACTGTCAAAGAGTTGATTAGGTCTAAATTGTTATTTCTCCATTTCTCCATGGCAGGAATTTATCAGTGTGGTCCTGCCTCACGGAATGCCATCAAAGAAGGAGATGTAGATCTGGACTATGACTGCCCATTCGTATTTGCAGAAGTGAATGCAGACTGCATGTACTGGAATTATGACACTGCAACTGGAAAGAAAACATTAATGTTCTCTAAGTCTACTGTAATCGGCCAATTCATCAGCACAAAGGCCGTTGGTAAAGACGATCGTGTAGATGTCACCAATGATTATAAATATGAAGAAGGTAAATAAAAACACTGGTTCTTCTGGTTAAGTAGCTGCTTCATTCCTAAACGTATAAAAACTTTAGGCTGGGAGCCTCTTAGTGGGCAATTTTGGGTATCTATATGTTGGAGCAAAGTTTATACTCAGTTTATTCAGTTCTAACAGAAAAGGGAAGAGAAGGTACAGAGTAAAAAATACTGCCTTGCCCTTTGTGATATGGAGCTGCTTTGTGAGACCTAAATAAGGCAAGTCCAAAGATCTCCGAGTAAAGCATTTACTGTTTGCCTGCCTATTGATAACGTGTACTGACTGCCTCTGCTTTGTGAGAATTATTCCACAGCCCAGTTATTTGACAGCGGGATGAAAGGCCTGTTACAGAAACCTAAGCTAAATCAGCCCTTAGGCCCAGGAAAAGCAATTTTTTCAAGGAATCAAACAGCACGTAAACTTCTCAGACCTTTCGGTTTGCTAGTGAAGAAATTACAATCATGAACTGAATTTGCAAGTGTAAAGAATGAACGCTGCTATTGGAAATATGTATCAGAAGGGCAAAAAGCATGATAAAGCAGAGCCCAAATAACTAGCCTCCATTGCGCAATGGCTCTGGCTGGGACAGAGTTAACTTTCTTCAAAGCTGCGCCGCTAAAGGCGTTGACAACACCTGATGGTTTGGCTGCTGCTGAGCAGAACTTGCAGAACACTGAGGCTTTCTCTCTCCCTCCCTGCCACGTTGAGTAGGCTGTGGGTGGGCGAGAGGCTGGGCGGGGACCCAGCCAGGAACTGACCCAGACTGACCAAAGGGATCTTCCATGCTTTATGACTTAGTGTTCCACGATAAAAGCTCAGTGAATGGCAGAGGAAATGGGGGGCATTTGCAGTCAGGGCATTTGTATTCCCAAGCAACCGTTACATGTGTTGAAGCCCTGCTTTCCAGGACGTCTGGACATCTGCCTGCCCATGTAGAATCCTAAGTGGAATAGTGAGTGTATTCCTCTATTTGCTTTCCCTGTTAAATTGTCGGTATCTCAATCCATGAGTCTTTTTGCCTTCCATTTTCTCCCCATCCTGCGGGAATGGGGAGTGAGTGAGCAGCTGGGTAGATATTTGGCTGCTAGCCAGCATCCACCCATCACACCGTCCCTCCAGCCTTCCCTTAGATTAGGGGCCTTTTCTGTATTAGCAAGTACTAATTCACATTTCTGAATATTACAACCACAAACAGGGATAGAAATGGGACGAGTGAGAAACTCTGAACTTAAGATTTTGTGTTACAAAAAAATGCTATTAGAGGGGCAGTGGCATTACTTGACTGCAGATCCAGAAAATTTGGTGCGACCGTGAAAAACAGAGGCTCTGCTCATCTGTAAGTGCAGACACTACGTTCTGCTGGCTTGTCTCTAGCAGTCACGTAAAATAAAAGATGCCTGTTAATTGCTGAGGATAATTTTTGTCATTGTCTCTCACAGGCTCTACAAAAGAAAGAGACATTTTTAAAAAAGCCCGTAAGAAGCTGGGACTTGAGGATAAATTTGATCCTACAGCACCAACACCACAGGAAATCGATCAAAAGCCTGACATCTCAGGGAAATTCAAGGTGGCTGGCCCTTTAGAAGTTGGGAAAGATCTCAATCTAGTTCTGGTTCTTGCAAACCTACAGTCTGATGCTAAGACTGTTCATATAAATACGACTGCTTGGAGCACTGTGTACACTAGAAGACCGGTTCATGAGATCTGGAAGGACTCCATATCTGTCACTCTATCTCCTAGGGAAGGTAGGGTTTTTTTAACTAACTTTTAATCATAATTGTGTCATTGTTTTATCAGTAAATGGCCATTAGAAGCTGGTCAACTTTGGGAAAAAAGCTCTAACAAACTGCGGTCTTAAATTTCCATGCAGAAAAGGCTGAAAAAAAATTACATTGCACTTACAAACATATTAAAAAATGTTTGTTTCACACCATCATTTCCCTGAGTACTATTCACATTGTGGAAAATATATCTCAGGAATGAAGAGAAAATGGTGAGTAAACATGAAGCTTCATTTAACAAAATTTGCGTTACAAAAAGATAAGGACAACATAAAAGCATAGAAATCGACTCCAATTAAATGTGTTCTAGTGAATTAAGAGGGGTCTTACTGAAAGGTAACAGGACATGGCTAAGAGCAGAAACAAGAAACCTGGTCCATTAGCACATCAGAATGGAATTAAAATGTGAGGAATAGAAATAGCTGAAACAGCCTGCTAAGCTCCACAGAAAAGAATGCTGCTATCAAAGAACTGTTGAGGAGTAAAGAACCTCAGATTTTTTAACATTTTTTTTACAGATGGAGTTTAATAACCTTATGGAAGAAATTCTCTATGTAAATATGAGTATTACTGGAAAGGTGAAATTAAATTACCCTTAGGAGCTTGGGATAATAGATATATCAGCATCTCTAAAGTGAACTGCAAGAGCATTGATTCACATCTGATACTATATTGTATTAACCTCAGGCTTTGAATTACTAGTGAGAAGCAGAAATAGTATTTAATTTCTTTAATATGTAATTTGACTTCTGGAGTTGGGATCTATCAGCTTCCTCTAAAGCATCAGGACTCTCAGCGAAGACAGTTTATGTTTTATTTTATTAGTCATGCAGTAGTTAAGAAATCTATTGCTACTGGAAGAATCTAAGAAATTCACACTGCACCTATTTTCTTGCTTACCTTTGTGGGACTTTGCATTGGTGACTTGTCATGTTTTCTTCTGTTTTTCATCAGCTGTATACTGCTGGAAAGTACTTTCTGGCTCAGTGTTTGTATAGCTACTCTACAGTGCTTCTGAACCTGATGTTTATTGTATGAAAGGCCAAAACCATGGAATTGCCTGGATTCAGAGACAGGAGATTCCTTTCCATCCAGTATTCTTTGATTTGAATTACAGCATGGAAACTACTGTAAAAACACATGATAATAAATGCAGATAGGGTTAGGAAAGATAAAAGAAATGTGAAGATGTCATTCAGCTCGTCTCAATACATCATGAGCAAATAGGACTGATGAGGCCCATCAGAGCACGTCCCATAACAAACGGAGTGGCGCTGGTAAAACTCCTTAAGCACCAGCTACCTTATCCTTGAGAGCACCTGGGAGGAAAACAAACCATGCAATATGGTAGTAGGGAATGGAGGGGGGAATAACACTGAAGAAATCACTCTCTCTATAGAGCAAACAAATAAATTTGCAGGAATTGAGTTCGGAAGTGATTTCCTAGTTCCAGACACAGCATAAAAGGAAAATACTAACATTAGGTATGAAACTCTGAGCTTATAAAAGTGTATATCAATTTCTTTTCTTTTTTCATCCAGAGAAACAATTTCCCATTAAGATATCATATACTGAATATCAACAGCAGTTAACTACAGACAACACAATCCAGGTAACAGCTTTATGTCATGTAGAAGGTGGGATTCAAGTGCTAGTGCAAAGAGACATCACCCTGGACAACCCTGCCCTTGACATACAGGTAAATGCTGTCCCTTTGCTCTAACTGCAGTGGCAGAGAAAGGGGAAGCTGAGCTCTTATGTGCTCTTTCTTCCCTGAAAGATGTTCTGCTCACATTCTGCCGCAGTCCATCATAGCATCTCTTAGTGTCTCTTCTTCTGATGACTGAAAAGGCTCAGATAGAAAAGAATACCGAGAACCTGGACTTTCAAGCATTTTCTTTGCACAGGTACTCGGTGAAGCAAAAGTGAATAAAGAAGTGGATGTGGAAGTGCTATTTACCAATCCTATTGATACGGAAGTGATGGACTGTGTGCTGCAGGTAGAAGGCAATGACCTGCTCAAAGGAATTCTTGAGATAGAGTAAGTATGAGAAATGCCTCCTTCCTGCTATTAAGCCTACATGAGCAAGAACACAGGCATAGGTGACTTGAAGTCCAACAGTGGGATGAAAGCGTTTTCTTCTTGCTGTAACCTGGGAGGCCAGTCAGTGTAACACCTCATAATGAAGCACACAGCTCTGAACCGGGTCTTCATCTAAGCTAGGCTTTTGCTCCATAGTTTGGGCGGTCAAATAATTGCTGTCATAGTTGGCAGAACTTGTTTTCCTGCCTATCTAGCAGTTCCAGAAAAAATACGTGCTTACTCATGCTGTAAATTTTGCTGAGGCTGTCTGTGCTGCTATAGGCCAGACAGGTTGAACCTTCTTGTTCTAACCATAGGGCCAACAATAGGATACATGACTGTTCCTGTCCATACTATACCCAAATTATAGCATATATTAACCAGGATTTTTTTTTTGCCCCATTTTATTAAAGGGACAGCAGGTGCCAATCTGGGTGTTCAGCCTTCTAACAATTTGCATTTACATCAAACAGGCAGACATATATAAAAAAAGCAGATGCACCAGTACCCCAGCTTTGGGAAAAAAAACGAACAGAGATTGTTTAGACACAGGTTGTGATCTCAAAGGGTGGTACCTCTGAAAAGTACAACCCCAAGTATGCTCCATGCATAGCCATTCCAGACACAATAAATCACAACTAAGGAAGACAGCTTTTAAAGAAGAGCTTTAAACCATGTCCAGCAGCTACTCCTTAGATGACTGAATTTCCTTTACTAAGGCCTGGAACTTCAACACAGCTGAAATCTATGAGTCAGGCAGGAAGAGAATAGGAAAAACACTGAACATTACAATAAAAGTTTGGGCTGAGTTTTTTAATTACAAAAAACCCCAACATTCCAGTACAAGAACTACAGGCACACCGATTTTCAAGCTCTGCTCTACAAAATATTTCTGTTGGGAGATTAATAAACAGAGTCCAGAAACAATTAGATGGTGTTGAGATGGTGAATGAGAAGACTGGAATAAAATGGGTTCCTTTTACTATGGATCCCAGGCTCCTATTTTCATGTTTTGATGATTTTATATCTTGTACATATACAGAATTGCACACAAATTTTGACATATGTTGACATATTTTTTAGAAATAACAAATGCAGTTATTTCTAAAAAATACCTGGGATATGGGAGTGTGCTCTTTAACTGAATACACAAACAACCACCCAAACAAACATACATAGCAACTTAACATTGCCATTTTGCTTGAGCAACCAGGAATGGTCTATCCCATAATTTATAAACTCTCCTGAGGGAATTTAGCAACCTCATGTTGTCTATCACATACAACTTTATCCTCAGGCAAGACAAGACACTATGACAGGGTAAGAGTAAGGCTGGTTGGGAAAACCATAAACACGAGTTTCCAAGAATTACAAAACATGCTCGTTTTAAACATTTTAGCTTCCATTCAGAATTTCCCGCTGTGTAAACACGGAGGTTTTCTTGGTGCTACAATCTATTCTAATACAGGAGTTTGTATTAACATTCTTCATGGTCTCAGATTATTCTTTTTCGATAATTCAACAATGTGCTTTACACCCTTCGTTCTGCCATGAAGTTTTATCTCACATAATACTAGCATGTCCCCCTTTGTGTGCTTATCTGTTTAACGTATTTGTGAGAGACCTTAATGCATAGGTTTGAGTATTTAAATACATATCAGATAGCTAAATTCTGTATGGTCTTTTCATGGCCATCCTATACTAAACGGATAGGAATTCTTACTTAAGATGGGAGATAGTTAGCAAAGAAACTCAAGCATGATACATAAGCCTGTTTTCAGCTTGTATTTCTCCCTTTGTTTCCTATTTCTAGCGTGCCACCACTGAAAGCCAGTGAGAAATCCAGTACAAAGTTTAAACTCATCCCTTTTGAGACGGGTCCCAAACATCTACTTGTTAATTTCTCCTGTGATAAATTTGCAAATATCAAGACCTTTAAACTGGTAAATGTGACTGACTAACATGAAGTTATACAGTGAATGATCTGTGTGTGTATAAATCAAATAAAATGCCGTAAGAAATCTTGTATAAGAAAACAATGAGAAAATTAGCAATACAAAACCATTGCTTCCTCTGATAAGGGGTTACCAACATAACATCACTGAAAACTTACATTGTAATTTTAAATAAACTGAGGGATAGTTGACAATACATTTACTGTTGTGAGTGTCCATGTTACTAAAAAGAGCATCTTGCCTTCTATTCAGACAGTTTGACTTTTGCACAAACATTCATAAACTCATTTTCACACATTCAAAACCTTACAGAGTGGACTTTCAAAGCTGTGTTTCTCCTTACTGCAACTGTGATACTAGAAAGTAGCCAGTATGAGTTGCACGATTTCTGTCATTTAGCATTGTCTTTTTTGCTGCAACATCTGTCCTGACATTTTTGCTTTTTTGGTAAATCAGAGTGACCAAATGAGGCATAAGAAATGTTCAAAAGGAATTTGGGTGGTGTCCATTCTGAGAGCCATTTGACAAATCTTAGTCTTCTCTGGGAATCAAAGGGAGGATAATCTTAAGTCTCAGGGTATTTTAACTTAAGAAGAGTTAGGAATTCTTCACTATAGAAGGAAGTAATCTTTCAGAGTTCAAGTTTAGTAAAGCTTACTTAAACCCTTTATGGGAGGATAAGTATGGGTCAAAAGTTGGGTTCCAGGAACAAGTGAACTAGGTGTAGCCCAGTGAGTGACTTGGTTTATGGCCAATAATTGTACAACAGTAAGTCAGCCTCTGACTGAAAATGACAGGCACAGATGAAGTGAATGGAAAGTCAAACTACTGCTCTGTTCCACTTTGGATTGCTGGGCCAGGAAGCCAGTAAAATCTTAACAAGCGCCTGGAGGCAGCTCTGTGCTGCCACTTCCACCAGGCAGCCCAGGGTACCTATGACCTGCCCCAGGAACTCCTCACTGTCACACAAGCAGCCCAAGCTCACACTGGCTATCAACTCCTTTTGTCCTTGTAGCCTGCAAAATTGCTTTGGGAGGACACTTGCAGTCACCTAGTTTTCCACTGCCAGTCACACGATGTCAGCACATGACCAGACTGGACATGAGATGAGCTGCAGTGAGGCTGCACAAGTAGCACACAGGGGTACCCTCTCTTTTTCTCCTGATGTTCCTCAAGACTTGCCAGAGCCAAGAGCTGTCATCACATAGTCCAAACAGTAGAAGTTCAAGCTCAAGCACAGCCTTGGATTTAGAATGTGGATATACACTTAAAGACTTCTTTTTACATCTCTTGCACACATGAAAACAAGCAGACTATGTTTAAGTCAAGTGAATTGCACTAGCAGGAGTGAGAGAAGCTTAGAATTTGGACCTCTGGGGGGAACTAAAAGGAAAGTAACACCCTTCCCTGCAACACTTCACAGCACAGGAAGTGAATGTCTTACTAAACGTGAGCCTACATGGATACAGACTCACAGAATGTATTCTGCAGCATTTTTTGTAGAAGTTATACTGATCTCTGCTTTCTAGTAAAGAGTAGTAACAAGACAAGCGTAAGGTGCAATATGGTTACCCTGAGGATATGGCAGTGCAATGCCTGAACAACAGACAAAATTATTAAGGCTATGAATGAAATAAGAGTATGTTTTTCTCTAAAAGTTAGCAAACTGCACTGCAATTTCAAGGCTCTGAAACAAGGGAAAAGGAGGAACAAAATATTTTGAACCATTTTGGATGATGGGTGGGTGGAATTGAGCTAGGAAAAACACCTGCGACAATGTTAAGTCATTAGTCACTTAGGAACCATGACCACTGCATTCCAAAGGGATTGCAAAAGCAGCTGCTGATGCTTTGCTGTGGTGAAGGTGCGGACTGGCGGGTGCCAGTTTGGGATGTAGGCCAGTCAGAGAGAGGTTCTGGTGGCTGGGTGAACACCACTGAGGGTGTGTCATACAGAGGTAAGGGAGGTGGTTGCAGCCAAGACAGAAAAAGTGTTCTGATATTTAATTATGTGAGTAGCAAGGAAGAAGAAAGGAAGTAGTCATCCTCCAGCAGAAGCAATGTGTAACATCTGAAGCAATCACTGTAAGTACTGAACACCTGAACTCAAGAACTGGTTGATGCGGTTTGTCACTAAGGCTGTGTGTGAAGATCAGGTAACATCAGAGGCTTGTGGCTCTTATGGTTTCCAAGGAATATGAATTAAGGAAAAAAGACCAACTATAGTAGCTCTGAACAGCAATCAAAACCATTCGAAGTGATTCCTGGAACAAGTTTTGACAGCCTGAACATCCCGGAAACTTCCAGGAGGAGGAAGGACCTCTGAATTATAATGTAAGTGGAGATACACCATACCAGATATACTGCTGCCAAGTGTGCAAATTTTAGTGTTTTCCTGTCAAGATAGGCTGGCATGAATGTCATATGAGCAGTTTTTAGTTTTTGTGGTATCAAAACAGTTTCTCTAAAAGGTGCAAGAAGCCAATTTTTTTGTAAAATCAACTTTAGAAACAGCTGTTGGAGTTTGATTTCTGTGCTTTTTAAGGTTTTTTTTTCCTTTGTAACTTAAAATTCAGACTAAATTATTTTCTAAGTCTTGTCTTTACTAAAACATGATCAGTGGAGCCACAGAATCTTTGACAGATAAATATTTCTCCCCACAACAATGTCACTTCATTATCTGTAAAAAGTGAGGGTACAAATGAAAAAAGAAGTATGTTTGCAGTTGTGAAGATAGACAGGCTTAGAGTTTGCGCTGATAAAAGCTACTCATAGTTAATAGTTTGGGGGTTCATTCCAAAATAAAACTTTCACTGAAATAGTAGTATGAAGCTGGCTAATATAAAAGGTAAACAGACATTTGTTTCTAGTGGGACGTCATCATCGCACATAAGTCAGGGAGAGTTGGAGATAATTTGAGACCCAAAAAAACCCTCTAAAACCAACTCACAGCTGTTGAACAACACCAGAAGTGACATTAACCAATCTGGAAGTTAAGTAATCAGGAAATGCTCCTTTTTCCTTCATATGGCTTTTATGTCCCACCACACTCCCTGTTTCCTCATCCTTAACGATAACTTATTATGGCACACCTATTATCCTTTGTAGGAAGTTCCTTGTCTTGGGATTCAAGAGAACGCATTTCCTCTGAGTAAATAATTCTGGTATCTTGTCCCATAATTACACCCACACTGAGTAAGAACATTGGCATTGGACATACATGTATTATAGGAACTAGTTAATTAATTTGACAAGTCTACAGGTATTAATAACAACTGCTAAGTACCTCTCCCTTCTCTCAAATTTCAGCTGACAGCACGAAACGATTGCTGGTTTTTTTTCTTTTTATGATTAATGTGACTTGGACACCCTTGAAGAACAAAGTAGAAGTTGTATGCAATTCTCATAAGCTGAGGGAATGGCAGGTGAGTTCTGCGTGTCATTTGCTTCCCTTCAGCAGGTACTTTATTCAGGACTGCTTCCTTAAGATACATGCCCTGTAGGTATCTGCTCAGATTTCTTATCCAAAGGAAATTTTATATTTTAATTTGTCCTTGCACTTAATTTTCAACGTTTTATTGTTGTTATTATTAAGACCTGTTTGAGAACAATTTTTGAGCTAAGCTAAGGATATTTTGGGGGAAAAAGAAAATAAATTCCCATTACTTCAAAAGGCACCATGCAGAACTCCATCTAAACCCTTTATGGAAATGCTATTTCAGAGATGTGTTATGCTTTGTATTAAAAAAATTAGTGCAATCCATCCTAATGGAGCTGTGAGCATGGAGCCTATAGATGGGAATTCAAAGATGCATTAAAAACCTACCAAAGGAAAACAGTAATGACAAAATCTCTGCTTTTTAAAGTTTAAAATGAAGATGATTATTGAACTAGTAATTGCAAAGCAGGGTTCTCTCTTGTTTAATGATGAAACAAACATTTTCAAATCAGTTTTTAAAACGTTGCTTTGCAGGGAAAGCAGCAACCTACTGCAGTTCACTGTTGTCCCACATAGAGAATCTTTAGCATGGCTTTTTCAGCTCATCAGTGCTTACTCACATTACTGCTTTGTGGTCTTAGGCTACAAAGAAAAAAATTATTCTCTCTTGAATTTAATTATGGCACTCTTTTGCATAAGTTAATTTCATTACTACTTCTTCAAAGATGATATATAAGTTGTAGTTTAATATGCAGGCATATTGTTTCAGATCTGACAGTATTTCATTGCTATGCCATATGGTATGAGAGAGACTTGGGAGCTTGGTTGAAAATCCCTACCGTAACAGTGCACGCTGCCATAGGCCTCAATCCATCCTGTCCATGCCACTCTTTTTTTTATTGTTGTTACTGTTTTCTTTTGAATTCCCTTTAAAATGGTGGTGTCATGTGCCCCTATCCTGTTCCCCCCTGCCCCAATCTCATTGCATTTCTGATAGTACCATTAATAAATGTGATTTGGAAGAATCTTCACCAAAGTATTTGCCCTGAGCATTTGCCAAGACCTGCAACACGATGCTCCAGACATACTCTGTGGAGTCTCATAGGGCACATACAAAACCAGAGGATGGTACCTCTGTTATAACTGCTCAAGTTTGAGCGTGGCAATAAAACATGAACCATAGAAAAGAATCTTGCAAGGAAGTTCATACGCATACTCACTGGCCGAAAAGGTACTTTAGCATTTAAGGTGGAAAAAGCCACTTCTACAGGTTTTAACTCACAGACCATAATAACAGTATGTGTGCAGGAAGACACTTGATATCAGAGAACTTCAAGCACACTAAGTCCTCAGAATTCCTCTAGGACATGAAGATAGTGCCTGCTGGAACAGGAATCCCAGTGGTCCAGTTGTCACTTTGGACAGAGCTAAATTCAGTCAGACTAATTGTCAAAATGTCCAACTTATGTCCTCAGATGCCTCTTCTTCATTCATGTAAGACTGATGATCTCCCCCAATGCATCTTTCCCTACTCTAGGTCAAATGGCATCAGGATATAAGCAGGACAAGTAAGATGTCCTAACAGCCATTTCTGGGATCCTAAAAATATATATGTTGAAAACGTAGAGGGGCTACAGGCCCTTTTATTTGGTGCTGACAATGAAATGACATTGATTTGCCCCTGTTAAAGTTTTTCTCAGTCC